GAGTGACTTGCTTGCATCAGAAGAGATGCAGTGATTCAACAGTCAACGTGTGGAAATTGAAGCTCGAGAAATTCAGATTGGAAATCAGAGTTTAAGCACTGGAACATGCTACCGAGAAGTGGTAGATTCTCCAATTCCTGGTATTTTCAAACAACTGCATATCTCAGGGGTTATCATCCGGGGGGTACTTAGATTAATAGATCCATAAATGTGAGGGTTGGAAGGGACCTTGGTAGGTCATCAAGCACTTTCCTGCCCTGGGGTCAAATGACCCAAGCTAGGTGCTTGTTGAGTCTCTTCTCATAGACCCCCAGGGTAAGGGAGAGCACCACCTCCCTTGGAAGCCCTTATTGCGAAGAAGTTCTTTCTAAAGTCTAATCTAAATCTCCTCTCTGTCAACTTGTGGCCATTGTTCCTAATTACTCCAGGGGGTGCAGAAGGCCCTAGGGGGTATGCGCAGGCAGGCGGGTGGGTGGGGATGGAGCGCTGCCATGCATCATCCTGTGCTGCTGCGCAGGCGTCACCCCCTGCTTCACGTCTGGCCACCAGGGGTATACTGATCCAAAAAGGTTGAAAACCCCTAATATATATGTTTCAGTCACATAAAAGTGATTGGGCTCAATGCTATTCCTTATTACCTTTTTAAAATTACTTGGATGCTGTAATGATAATTGCTGAATTGCTATATTTGTGGAAAACAAGCAAATATATAGTTAAAATTGCTGTTTTGTTATAAATAATGCTAGCGCATGAGTTTTTGCATATTTAGAAAATATTTTTGGAGTTCAAGGGAATCAACTTTACAAATAGCTAATATCAAGGGACAGTATTATCATAGAACAAGTTTCAAGATGTGGACAAAAAAATCAACAGGCCCTGATGTGTAACCTTGATCCATAGCTTACAAAATAAGAGGCTAAAACTTAGGGCTCATTTGGACTGTAGAATTTGGCCATGATATAACTGAATCCGAAGGCAAATGTGTTCCCCTTTGACTGATTTGTTTGTTGGCCTTAAAACAATAGGGTAGCAAGAATGCAGATGACCAAGTATGAAATAATTAACACAAGATATACCTCTCCATACAGAAGCATTTAATGGGAAAAATGCGACCTGTGTGCAAAGATCTATTTAAAGTAATTATGAAGGTACTTATGTTTTTGTAATATCGTCCATGGTAGAAGTCCCAGCAGCTTCTGGAGAAGCTGCAGAAAGGTCTTTGGGGAAATACAAATCAGTTAACAAATGGTTCATTGAATGTAGATAAAGGATTCCACATTTCCCTCTGGCAATGCTCTGATACTCAGTGACTGATATGAGCAAACAAGGAATCAATTAGGCATAAAGTTTGAGATATTCAGACAGGCGAGGATCCTTGCATAATTTTTCTTCTAGTGCAATATATTTTTGTGGTGCTGTCTCCTTGTGCCTAAAATGAGGAGAAGGAAATCATAGAGAGAAATAGGTTTGTTTTATCCAATAATAAAAGATGAAATTTACTATTTTCAATTGATGCAATTACCAGACAATTTAAGTGGAAAGCCACAGTGACTATCCATTTGTAGACTCTTAATCATGGTAATCAACCCTTGTTAAAGTACATTGTTGGTTATCAGAACCTTGGTTATCCAAACCCTTGGTTATCCAGAAACCAACATTTTTTTACTGATTTAAACTCTTGACATTGTGTAAAAAGCTGTTTTCATTTTAAGCTGCTGTATTTAATTCAGTACTGCATCTCTACTCTTAATTTTGATATAGTATTGTAACCTATAAATGTTGTCCATAAGTAGAGAGAGTTAGTAGCTATGGGTTTGTGTAGATGAAACAGGGCCTGAAATTGAAGTGGTGGGTTTTTAAAAACACCAATTCAGTTTAGGGCCCTTTAAACCCCTGTGTTGTGTACACCTGTGTAACTTATCTGCCCCTCCAGAGTTGGGGAGGGGAGGGTGAGCTGCTGGCAGGTGGAATGGTCCCTGGGCTACAGGGGTGGAGGGAGGGAAGAGGGGCTGGTGCTTCCCTCCACAGCAGCCCCCTGCCAGGCGGCACCTAGCTCAGGCAGTCCCAGGGAGCAGTGCAGCCGTAGAGGGAAGCGCTGGGCCACCGCGCAGCTCAGGCAGGCAGGCTTCTGGTGGGGCGGGGGGAAATCAGGCTCGCTGAGTGGAGCCTGCCTTCTCAGGCTACTGCCAGGCTGCCTGCATGGGCTTGATGCAGAGTCTCTGAGCTTCACGGAGCCCAGTGCTTCACTCTGCGGCTGTAGGGCAGCAAACTAAAACTCCTCAGAGGAGTTTTAGTTCGCTGCACCCCAAGTCATTTAAGGTGCATTACACTGCCGAATTTGCTAGAGCGGCTGGAATTACTGCGCAATACGTCGCTGATGCATGTAAACACCAACACTATTAAAGTGGTGCAAAAGCATTTAACCCTCATTAAAGTCCCCTTCATTTTGTCTACACACAGCCCAAGTTACTATAACACCTCACAAAAATAGGCTTTCACATACAAAAGCTTGTGCCTTTCCAAGTTTAGTCTCAAAGGTGCCACCCTGTCTTGTCTTCTGTCTGTAAATGTTGGCCTTGTATACTGTTCTCTTTTAAGCTTTGATACAATGCTGTATCTCTATGATTAAGTTCAGTACAGTAATTTGTAACTGTTCCAAATTAATTCAGCTGTCCAAATGACTTTACAACAGCTGCTTTCCAGAGGGGTTCGAATAACAGGGTGTACTGTATTATTTACCTGTTGAGCCTCATCTCTAGAATGCGAATGCGGAACATGGCATCAGAGCAATAAGCTATGTAAGCCTCCTCATCCTCCACAGTCATGGAGAGCTGGTTTTGCTGGTACCATTGTTGCTTCTTTTGCAACTCCTGTGTCTCCTGATGGGGAACAAAAGCAAGCAAATCAGGGTCATAGGATGACAAGGAACAGCATGAGAGAGAGATGCAAAAGACAGCATCTCAGAGTTAAGGGAACAGAGGTGAGGGAAAGAGAATATAGAACAGTAAATTTAGGGAGGAGTGAAATGAGTAGGTTGAAGACAAGAAAGCAGTCTTCCTATTTTTCACTCATTAAAGTGGGGAGGAGGGTGTGTACTTGTGTGTATGCTTCATCTTAGCTAGAGAAATGAGTAGCATAATTTCTTACCTTCCATCAGAATGAAGAGACAACCTTTTGTGTTGCCACCATACAGGGTAAAACAGCCTCTCACCCAATGCTGGACTAAGGAGAGAAAAGGGCTGAATACCTTCTCAAAGCGAACTTGGATGATGTTGGCCTTGTCAATGAGATGGTACTTGAAGTCAGTCAGGCAGTCCTCTTTGAGGCGTAGGGCCTGCCACTTGGTCATCTTCTCTATGTTTCCCATTTGAATAATAAAAGGTGCCAGGTAATCTAGATCCTGCTCATCTTGTCGCTGGCGCTCTTCTTGCATTTGATGCTCCTGGTAAGAGTGAAAAGAACCACTCTTGCATCGGCAATCAAAAAATCCCCAGACAAGGCACAACCACAGCACACTAATCAGTTAAACCATGTTAAGTTTAGTAGGTTTTTTTTTTCTATGATAACATGGTTCCTTTGCAAAGTCATAGGGACAGAGGCCCAGGTTCTCAACTAATATCAATTACTGTTGCTTAATGTTAGTCAGTGGAGCTATGCTGATTTACATCAGATAAAGTTTTGGCCCAGGAAGTTTTAATTATGCTACAGTGGATTTGTTAGTTCTTGAGATGGATTTCTGTGCCCACACGTAATAAGCACTGGATCCAACCCTTCTAGGAAAACTTGAACTAGATCTCACTGATCCAAACATACCAGCCGACTCTGGGTTTATTCCACACATTTTTTGCATCTGAAGCTTGACTGTAGTACTGGAGATAGCACATTGTGTTAGTTTGTGATTAGAGACTGCTACCTACCATTGCCTCTCGCTGTTTTTTGCCCTTTTCATTTCTTTCTGTGTCATAAATGGAAACAGTCAGCTTGCTGGCTCCTTCCTCTTCCTCGCGGATCTTCAGAATTTCAAGCACCTTTAGCAACATTGGAGAAAAAAGATGCTCTTGTATTATATTAAATTACCATCCTCCATCTGTTTGTTCTGCTAAGAGGGCACAAGCAAGGGAAAAGTATGTAAGTACAACTGTATCTGCTTATAAACAATTTCGATAGGGGGCTTATCTGCCTGTATTCATACGCTAATGCTACATCACTATAACCAAAATAATATCATTTTCAAAGGGGACTTATCATGAGAAATAACTGATATTCACAAAAATATCAGTTTGGTATGAGATTTTTAATAGAATCTTTGATAGAATTAACCAGAGCTCTTCTCACATCATAAGCTTCCTACTGATTCTAAAAACTGCTGTGTTGGCTTTGATATATTCTGCTGTATACTAGAAGCCACCAATACAATCATATAAAACACTGCTTTGTTGATGTGTAAAAGCTCAGCAAGTCCAGACCATTTGCTAGAAATCCAAGTTAGGTGGTTCATTTCACTACAATATATACTTCCAGAAAATATTTATAAATTATTCCTAATATTGTGTAAGAGCACAGTACCTCTTATCCAAGGATATCAAGCCCCTTTACAAATTAAAGAAGCCTCACATTTCACAGATAGAGAATGTGAGGCACAAAGGAATTAACAAACTTGCTCAAAATCATACAGTAAATCACTGGAAGAGTTGATTTTATAATCCAGAGATACCCAATTTGGACGCTAGGCATATTGTCTTCTCAACTATTTCTACTGTATCTAAAAATACGGTAACACCTACTGTGATCCTAATCAAATGTCACTTTGCTTATTTTATATATAGAATAAACAGTAACACATGAAGGGTGTGGTTATAATCCCACTGAGATACTCTGGTAACATTATGAACTATAGGTGTGTAGAGCCATAGTACATGGATCTAGGGTTTTGGTGGCCCCCTACTTTGCTATCAGACTGGTTCCATCATCTTTATTCCCTAACCCACTGCTGCTGGGCATTCTCCTCACAAGTGTGGTTCTCATCTTTGGCTCCAGTGGCCTTTATTGATAGATTCTATGTTCCTAATACATCTTGTGGCTGCTTAAGTGAAGACTTCTGGAATTGCTTTTTTTTTTTTACTTACATGCTTAAAATCTACCCGACTCCCACATGAGGTGCTTAAAATGCCTCTATGTATCTCGTTCCTAGGTACAATACTTCTAGCTCACAATTAGATTGGATACTATTTGCCTTCCCTTCTATCTAGCTCTACAAAAGGCAGATGTATTTCTAGATATTCCACCATGTGCATTCTTTATTGTAGTCCTTTGCTCTTAGATTATCCCCTTTTCTATAAAACAGGAGCAGGGTATACTGGGTGCATGACTCAAGACAAGTCATATTTGCATAATTTGGGATAGAGACCAGCATTGTGTTATCAGAACACTTATCCTTGTTTATTTACTAGATAATATATGAACATATGGAATGATGTGGAGATATGAATTAGCTACATTTAGGTCCAGACTTCTGTCATACTCTAACTTTAGCTTAGAGAATTCCCATATTACCTCTGTTCCAGATTCCCAGACTTGATGCTTTAAGTGTTTCTCTTCCTCCATTAGCTTCAACATCATTTTGTACAGATGGATCAGCTTCTTGTCTTCCTGAGACGATCCCACCTAAACGCCAATAAGCCAATGGTAGATTGCATCAGTGTCTAGACATGTGGCCAGGTATGCAGCTGGCATAAACTGATATAATTCCACTGAGCTCTGTTGATTTCCATAATTTGAGGAACTGGCTAAGAGTTGCATTGTCTTAGCCCCTGGCTAAGAGTTAATTGTAAATAACACTTCAGGGGACCAGACAGTAGATTGTTTACTTTTTTACTGCCACTGCTGCTGTGATTTAGGTAGAATGGCATTTCTTCAGGTTGTAATAGGGCAGAAGCTCTGCCTGCACTTTCCAATAGAAATAAATAGACTTTTTAAATAAAGCAAAACAATCATGTGATACACTGCTCTAGTGATGTGTAAAAGCTTAGAAAGTCCAGACCATTTGCTAGAAACCCAAGTTAGGTGGTTCATTTCACTGCAATATGTATTTCTGGAAATCTTTTTTACAGGGGTAAAAAAGCAAAGTTGATTGATTCCCCTGATTTTCTTAGGCATGCTATTTCCCAAGTTCCCATCAGAACTGGAACTATCAAGGTAGACTTGCCCGATTTGCCTGTCACCTATGCTGATAACTTTAGTTGACTGTCTCCACTGTAACTGCCAAAATTTACCCAAATAACAATACTTGACACTTTTATACTGCATTTTAAGTATCTTGAGCTTTACAAACAATGCATTAAGGTTCACTCTGCTATAAGTATTATCTCAATTTTCAGCGAGACAAACTGATGGACAGCTTAAGTGAAAGCCTCACACAAGTCTGTGGTAGAGATAGAACTAGAATTCAGGTGTTCTTATCTCTAGTCCCCTTTTCCAGGACAAAAATACAGAAAGGGGTTTCAGCTTCCCTTTCTTGAACTGTCAGTCTGAGCCTTCGAATTAGAGTCTTTGCATATCTTAGTAAGACTTCCAGCTTTCCCTTATGTCTGTATAAATCAGAAAGCTCCAAATAATTTACACACTTCTTCTATACCTGATAGCTGAGGCACATGTCTGGAGTCATGATGATCTTGTTTCCTTTATTATCCACATCTGCCCGTTTGGTGAACTCCCTCTTGGAGGCAGTGATGTAATTTTCCTGGAGGTGATATGTCAGCAGGATCCGCTCCTCAGAGATCATAAAGATGCGTTCTGCCACATCTTCATTAGCTGGCTTTTCTAGGTTCCTATGGAAACACTCTTTGATTTGCTAGGAAAGGTAAGGAATGAGATATAACCAAGTCAGAACCTATCAGACAGCACAGGAAAGTGACCAAATTTGATGGGATTGGGATTAGCAGGTAGAAGAAAAAATCCCATAATGAAAATAAGGATTTCATCCCAAATCTAATGTGTTTCTCTTTGTAACATGATCTAGATTTCTGAAGGTTGTAACTGTATTCAAGGTAGGACTATAATAGCATCTTTTATTGCTAGGCCCATGGTCTTACTTTTCTTATATGTGATTGGAAAGAAACAGTAAGAGCTGTTTAAACCAATGAGTACAGCTACTGCTTATGGAGCAGATTATGCTATTCAAGAACAAGACCCTTGTGTGGGTCATGCTGAACTGAGTTATACTAGCACAAATTCCAGGAAGCATTATGCCACCACCAGTTTCCCGAGACACATGGGAGAAGGGGAACAACTTTTCCCTTTTAGCACATAGGAATCAGGCACAATCTGGCTCAATATTAAGTGGTGGGATATGTGATCCATACTTCAGGGAATCAGCTCTGAGTACTCCCCTCCTCTGTGATTGGATCTGTTTAGGGGGAAAGGAAGATAGATAAGGGCTCTTTAAGGGAACTCAAGGCTCTCCCTCCATTAAAACACCTGGCTTTAATAGGAGATGGAAGGTAGCTTTAACTGAGATGACTCTAAGGAGCTGGATTCAGGCAGTGGAAAGCCTGTATTGGAGGATAACCCCAGGAATAGATCCAAGGCATCTCAGTAGCAATCTGTACCAAGGAAGTATTGTACAATCCTGGTTCTCCTAGAAAAGCCATGGTCCAGTCAAGGTATGAGGTGCCAGGTATTTTGCGTGTTTTGATACTTTGGGTATCAAAGGCAGAAGGCTTGTAATGATAGCTAATTCAGGAATGCACTTAAGGACATAGTTAACATTAAGCACGTGCTTAACTGCCATCAGTGGATAGGGATGATTGTATCAGTGGGGGCTTTCCATGACCTCTTGTTCAAGGTGCAGTAAAAGTCACGGCATTGGTGGTATTATGTGGGATATTTACCATAAATGCAGCTATTCTGGGGTTTGACCACAGAAATAAGTCCACCTGATAATTTTGGGATATTGTAAACTTTTCTGTCCAACTCAACCCTAAACATTTTCTCTTCCACAAATTTCATAAGACTTAGCTTTGTGGCTTCATTTTGGTTGCTGGATAGAATTTGGGGCAACTGGCCACTTGGAGGATATCCTGGGTCAAACAAGCCCATATGTAGGCAGAGAATCTACACAAGGCTTAGAGATATGCCTTGGCTATATATGCCAAGGGAAAATGTGTGAACTTTAAGTGAGACCATGAGAATAGGATCAGTATGATTTGTACAGCTCCAGCATTTTTGCTACTTTCCAGTGCATACCATTATTGGCCTGGCATTCGCATCAGGGTTAGCAACAAGAATCTGGGCTCTCTTTGTCCTTTTGCCAAAGTTTGTGTGCCGGTAGTAGAGGAAATCTGACCGCCCTACAAAGTATTCCATCATCTCACAGGCATTTTCAACCCGTTTCTGAAGGCCATCTACACGTGTCTTGTTGTAAAATTCCATGGTGCGCTCAGTCTCAGGATTCATTGACTTATAGACATGGGCTATGGTAGAGAGAGATCTTGTTTGAGCTTTAAAATAAATAATAATGCTTCTGATGCTGTAAAATATCACTCTTATGGGCAAGTTTTGTCTTTCTTGCCAAGCAAGACAAATTGTATTTCTTTGTCATTGTCCCACTAGTCACTACAGAGGCACCTGAGAAGCAAAGAGAGTAACTCCCCCCCTCAGTCCTCTGTGCCAGCACACTGTGGACAGCAGCAGGGAGGGACAGCAGATTTCATGAGGACACTACATGCCCTCACACATGTGGACTGGGGATAGATGAGGGCTTGACTCCAATCCCTCACAGATGGCAGACTATGCAGCTTAACAGTCTGTGTGGGAACATGCTGCATGGTGTATTGATATCACTCCTTTATTTTGGAAAACAGTGGGGGGTTTTTTAAAAAAAAAAGCATAAACCTCTTCCAAACATAGATTATATTAAAAAAAAGTCCCTGTTTACACAAGAATGAGAGAGTCTATATAGGGAACAATACCAGTATAACTATAATGGTTACCTTAGCTTATAGTGCACTGTGTGTTGTTTAAGTGCATAGCATTTGAGACTGAAAAAGGCTATGCATTTACCCAAAGAATCCACTTATCTGAACATACCATAAGCCACATTGATTCTCAGTTAGGGTGCCATAGCACCCAGGGGTCTTATGAGCTCTTTTTAAGGATGCTTCAAGGTGCCACACAGTATTAGCACTGTGTTAGGTGTGCAAACAACAGCACATGATTCCCATGCCATGGTAAAAGCAGCCATGGTGCAAAGCGCTGTGCCTGGTGTTTCCCCTTGGCCCCAGTCTCTGGCAGTCAGCATCCACCCCTCCTCCCTATACCGCTTCATAGCATATATGCCCCAGGTTCTGAAAATGCTAGTTGTGCCTCTAGCTGGTAGTTCCATTTATATGGGCTCTCTGTTGTATCAAGGATGATCGGTCATTAAGACTCTCTGAATGCCATAGGAAGATGAACTGTATACCTTTGAGACCTAATACATGTCCTGGGCCGAAGTATTCTGTAGTCACCTCTGTTATTTTATTCACTTGTCTCATTTCCAGCAAGTCTTCTCTGTTTTTGAACCACTGTCTCACCTCCAGTACTTTGGTACCTAGCAAGAGACCAAGCACCTTTGCACAACCTTACTTCCCCTTAGAAATTCTGTATATCAGATGAAAGCATTCAGGCATAAGGTCATCATGTGGGTCACACTGAGCTACACAGTCCCAGTGGAAGTTCTAGGAAGCTTCATGCCACCACCAGCTTCTCAAGCCCCATGGAGTCTGTGATGATCACTCCATGAGGATCATTACACAAGAGGTAAGGGAAAACAAATCAGAAGACTTGAACTAAAAGAGATTGCTAGGAAAGGGGATTTAGCTGCATGGCAGCTGTTAACTTCAGTGGAAATGGAGTGGCTGCCGTCCTCTTTTTCCTATGAAAAAATACAAAAATTAAAATACAAAAATTTCCAACCACAGCTTCTGCAAGTACATAATTAGAATGGCTGATGTGCTTCAAACTAAGCACATGCTTAAGTGTTTGCAGCACTTACGCATATACAGAATATTCAGCAGCCAGCAGGATCAAGTCATCAGTCAGCAAAGACTTGCTTTATGGGAAGGACACAGCCTCACAGCACATTCCCCTCCTTTCTGGTTTGTGTATGTGCCATGGTGCATTATAGGTGTCTGTATTGCAGGGAAGGAATGATAGTCGCTCATGTAGACATACCCAAGCTAACTAACAAAGGTACAGTATAGCCATGACAGGATAGAGCTCAATGCAGGATGCAAGACCCACATGAAAGCAGAAGGAACATCAAAGCAGTTAGCTCACATGAGTTATTTGCTGCCACAGTTACAAAGCTGGCTTGTTAGAAGCTAGCTTCGGTATGCCTACATGAGCTGCATTCACAACTTTGACTTTAGCATGGATTGGACATACAATAAAGATACAGGCATACAACATATTTACTATGGGGCAAATTAAGTTTACTCCACAGGAAAAAGGACATGGACACAAAACATATCACCTGAGAAAATGAAGGGCTAACAATCCACCAAGGTTTGTTACACTACTCAATTTCAGCCCAGGGTACCCCTTTGTTCAGTGTAAAGCTGTTCCCCTGATACCTAGTGGCTGTAGAAGCTCCTTGTTCAGGCAGCTGACCTAGGAGAGCTGGTCATGTGCCTGCTTCTTACAATATAGTAAATTTATGACTGAGTAATTTATCCCAGATTTTACTCCACTGCATACATGTCATGTATCCGCACACTAAAAGCAGCCCTGAGTCAGGCAAAGATGTGTCAAGCTGATCAGTGGCTCTGAACAACATCTCAATTATCCCTTAAGACAAGCTAGACTCCAGCAGAAATCTCTTAAAGTCCTGGAAATATTTATCGTTTATATGGGAGTGTGTGAGGGAATGTGAAGAAATGATTGGAGAAGCACATGAGGCGAACCATTATTTTCAAAAGGAGAGGAAAAGGACAGAAGAAACAATGACAAAAATGGTTGCCCTGGTACCATTCCCAACCTGCCCCAGTCACATAATTGTTCAAGGAGTCCATTCAACCCTCTTACAGTCTTGATCCTCAAAGACAGTGAGGCGCTCGACCAGCCCATTGCTGTTCAGGTAAGGTGCCCATTTCTCCAGCTTTGCCTTCTTGTAATGGATCACCTTCTTCCCTTGGGGACAGCGGGTCTCAAATTCTGCACATGGCAAAGAGAATTATGTGAGAAGAATTTCCTGCCCTTAGCAGGGGAGACCAGCATCCAAAGGAATTCAACTGAAATGAAACCACTGACCCAGTATGAATGATTGGTTCCCTTGTCAAAATTAGCTGAGAAACTCATAAAATCCTTCTTTTGGAGAGAGACCATTACTGATGCTGCCCATGGCTAGAGGAAGGTGATGCCATTGCTTTGTCAGAACGTATTGTGTGGGGCTGATCTCCCTTTGCTGACTTGAGTGAATGCTGAGAGCACCCAGGACCTCAAATAACTGGACCTGATCCAATTGCCATTGACAGCAGTAGGGTCTATAGTTGGCACAGTGACTATATGTTATGGATTGTATTGATTAATACTATCCTATGACCTCTATGCATGTTATGCTAAACGTAACTAGATTAGATTATAAAATAAAGTAATAGTCCTTGGTGACTGGAAAGCAGAGGAAATTAGCAATGGGAGAGCCTTTCAGTTGTAGAAGACTGATGAGACTATGTGTGGGACAACTTCTGTTACCCCCTGAATTTCCCATTTACACGTCCTTTAACTTTATGGAAATTCTTTGACCAGTAAAAACAATTTGCACCTTCCAGGCTTTCACAACCCTTTCATAAAGTAATATTCACATTTTAGTGGAGGAAACTCAGGCACCAAGATGTGAAGGAACTGCCCAAAGTCCCCTTGTGTGTTACCTGGGGAGAGAACCCAGAGTTCATAAATAGCTTCTTTAACCATTATGATAATGAGAAGTAACAGCTTGTGCTTTGATAGCCTATATTAGGTAATACTAGGAGAGCATATAATCAGAAGCAGAAATCACCCAGTTAGCAAGGAAACACAGAAAACAAATTTATGTGCATAGTCAGAGGAGGAGCAAGGACAGATGTTCTCAGTTCCAGGAACATTCCCCAGGGCCAAAATACAACTACTGGAGTTAAGTAACCTGCCTTCTTCCTGTTGTGTGTATTGATTTATTGCTATTTCATTGCTTGACTAACTGGTATACAATAAGTGGACATACTGAATAAACATACTATTAAATGTTTATACCATAGAATAAAAGAAGAAGAAATACCTTTCAGAGATATCTGAATTGGGTCTACCCAGGATGGTGGCATGTCAGAACCTTTTTCTTCCTCTTCTTTGACCTATCAAGACAGAGCAATGATGTTATATTATGTGACTGTTAACCAGAATATACCTGGCAACCTATCGTCTTATGACAGGAGGCATTTTTGTCTCTAGAAATACCATGTTACTGTATTAGACTATGGTTCCTCCAGGTTTTACCCACTCCCTGGAGAAATAGTGGTACAATGAAGGATTCTTCATGCTGGTTACACACACTGCCTGAGGCTACATTCACACAGCACATTTTGGCTTATGCAAGTGAGGGGGGTCTGTTGTATTCCCCAGAAACATAGCCCTGTGCATGGGTCATGAGGCATGCAGTTGAGAATTTGCACCTACAATTCACATACAAAATAATTTAGGTTGTGTAGTCAATGCAGTCTCTCAGTTGGCTGAACACTCTTGACCTTACAGTGTTGCAGTGAGTTCTATTTTTTGCTTCAGAAATAAATCTCTCAGATCTTTGCACTACAGCTGACTATTATATTTTAAGGAACACTATTGTGTTCATTCTGTCTGGAAGTTCCCTGTGCATTGTCTCTAGCTGAGCCCCACTCTTGCCTAAAAGACTCAGTTTTTTCAATTTAACATGGATGTGGATGTGGATGTGGAAAAAGAAAAAAAAGAACAGGATAAAGGAAGAGGGTGCTCATTAGAACCTAGGATTTGCTTGTTTATTTTACATAATCAATGGCAGAGACTCAAATATCCTGGTGATGGGCATTTTCTGAACAGATCAGATAAAAGGTTAGGATGTTTTGATATCATCCCTACACTATCACCCTGTGTTCTTTATACCAGGATGTTGTTCCTTTTCATAAACATTATTTTCTCTTCACGGGCTTTTGTAGGTGACAGCCAACTTTGTCAGATAGCATCTTGCTATAGATTTCATCTAACAAAGTAGGCTGTTGCCTACAAAATCTTATGCCTCTGAACCAGTTAGATTCTGAAGTGCCTCTCTGTCCTGCCTTCTGTCTGACTTCAGACTAATATGGCTAAATAACTCTAATTATTTTCTCTTGTGATTCTGTATTTCCTCCTTCAGCTGCCTTATTCCTTCATCTCCTCAGCAGCCAGGCTGCTGAGGGACAGGTAGAAGATGTTTTGTAAAATTTATTATTTTAATTTTATTTAATTTTATTGTTAAATGTTTCATATAGGGCCCTTCAGTGTGTATGAGCTCAGGGTATCAGTCCCAGCTATCAGAGCTCAGAAGTTCTTTGTACTGTAACAAACATATAACCACTAGGATGTCAGTGGTGGCATTAAACCACATACTGAAGACACTAGTAATTACACAGTGAAATGGGAACAGAATTTAGGTTCTCCTGTTCCAAAAAAAGCACCTGTCCCCTTCGCATCTACTAAACAAGAATTTCTAACACAAAGAGGGGAATAGTTCTAATTCTATCAAGAAAGGGGCAGTAGCATGCATGAATACATCTCCTGTAACAATAAATCCTTGTGGAAACAAAGAATCTGTTTACTTACCAAATTATCCAAATCCTCATCAGCTAATTCCTCTTCCTCCTCCTCATTTGGAAGCAACAGAAGAGGCTTATCAGCCCCCAGCAGCATGAACTCCCACCTCAATGGGTTACCAAGGTCAAAGATGAGATCCTAAGCAATATAGAACAACCCCTGGTTACTTTTAAAGGGCTCTCTTGCTGGAGATGCTGATGCCAAGGGAAAATCTGGCATGAGGCCCTAACCTGAATGCTACTTCCATTCTGCAGCAGATATAGTGGACCTGTCAGTACCCCGAGGAGATTTAATTATTTGAGGGAGTCCTTACATTTAGTCTTAATGAAAGAGGATGGTCAGACTCTTGTCCAACTAAGTGCTTTACTGGCAGCCTATCAAAATCCAAGAGCTCCATCTCTGTATTAAAAGCCCTAGGCCCAATTTAAACTGTACCTGAGCAGAGACTGACAGGATGCACTTGAACCTGATCTGTTCTAAAGCTTGGTCTGGTTTTAGTGTCAGAGTAAATTACTCCACTGTAGGACAGTATTGTACCCAACAGTACTATTCTGGTCTGGTCTTAGTGTCAGCTGGAGTGATCCTGAGGCCTCTAACTTGCAGTGTCTGTCATGACCCCAGAAGCTTATAGCAGCTGGAGAACAGCCAAAATGTAGAAACAGCAAGGTCAAGTCCTCTGCCACCCTTGGTAGGTAATCCCTGTCAAGGCCCTGGAAGCCTCCTCTTTACCAGGCAGACATGCTTCTTTGGGTAAATGTGATATCTTATTAAGCCAACTAAACAGTTGGAAAAAATGTTCTTTGCAAGCTTTTGGGTATAAACACCCTTCTTCAGGCAGAAGAGAGTCTGCTGGTATTATGTGTTCTCCATGGTAGAATAGAAGCCAATATGCAAAATGCAGGTCTGTGAAAAGGCAAATGCATGGCAATGAGGATCGGAGAGAATGGGAAACAATAGGTGTGAGACAGGTAGGTGGGGGAGGAAAGGGGAGAATGTTGAACTGGTGATAGAATATAGCTGGTAAAATGTAGACAGGTTACCTGGAGTTATCAGATGGCAGGCAGATTAAAATGTGTCATAAATACAATGTCTATTTTTAGTCCATGACTTTTTTGTATCCAGTAGATTTATGAAGTGAAGTTCATAGACTTGTCTATGAAAGGTGTTTTGTAAATGCCTTTGAGGATTAGAACTGAGAGATTGGAAGGTTTTTACATAGGGAAGGGACATGCAGCCAGGTTTCTCTGCTGGAAAGATTTCTCAGGGGCACAACATATTAAGGAGACAGCTCCGCAGATACTTTGGAGAAACTAAGCTAGGTGGTCATGTGGCCCAAGGGAACTGAGCCTATTGTCTATACTAAGGCTCAGACCATGGGTGTAGTGCAGTCTTTTTTGCAGCTTCTGGTCCTAAAGCCGGTGTAACTAGAATGGAAAATGGGTGAACATATAGATCTACCTTTTTCCCATGACCCACGTCTGATAGCTGCTCTCCTACAGTGCAGGAGCAATTCAAATAGGACAGTTACCTTACAGCCATTCAAGCAACTCTGCATATTGACCCAGTAGTTCACATGGTTCCAAAGGGCTTCAATACCAAGGAAATGCCCATCTGTGGTACTGTAGCTTTTTGCTGTGAATGGATCGATGAAGAAACTCTCTGGCACCTCCCGCTTCCCTGACAAAATCAGAACCCATGCATGGACACGTAACCCATACAAAGAGTCTGGCTTTGGCTTCTCAGCTTCCTGTAGCATAAAGACATACACTGGTTATCTGCAGTTATAATTCCAGACAAAAACAATCTTAGTTGGTCCTTCTCTGGCCCCTTTCCTTCTAGGGATCTCCAGCCTTTTCACACTTAATGATTAATGAAACCTTATGGACCTCCTTTGTGAAGCAAAATACTATCATTCCCATTTTATAGATGGGTAAACTGAGCTACACAGGAGTGAAATGTTTACTCAGCGCCATATGCAGAGTCAGACATGGTGTGGAATGGAGCGTAAGAGTTTTGGCTTTCATTTCCTCTGCAGAGCAGCAGTAATTCTCCATAATTTCTTTTGCTAAAAGGCAGGTACTTATTCACTCCTAGAGACTAAAAAACAGAAATTAAAACTGGTCAGCAGCCAATTCATTCATTTTGGCACCAAATATACTTTAAACACAACATGCTATGGACAATGAGCTAGATTTTTAAAGCTACCTAGGTATCTAACTCCCATTATATGCCAAAATATCTTTGACAACCTGGCCCAATATTCTCCCTGATTAGGTGAAGCATCTCTTCTCTACATCAATCAGAAAGCAGTAGGTTAGTCCTGTCATTGCTGTCAGTGAGATAAGAGGTTAGAGTGGGTGGGCATAAGACTGGAACTTCTTGAACCCCAAGCCTCAGCTGATGAAAATCATCTAGCTTCATTAGAATCCTGTTTTGTAAGGTGTTTATAAACACAACAAAAAATGGTCCCTTCCCCAAAGAACTTCCAGTCTAAATACCAGACACAAGACAATAGGTGAATACTAGCAGCCACATGGCACTAGGACAGGGGAACACTGAGACAATATTGGTCAGGATGACAGGCCCTTGTTAACCCAGCTACATCAATTTGGGCCTGCCTAGGCTCTGACACCTGATTTCTAGTCTTAGGTCTGTTATTCAAGTCACGTTTTGTAAGTCATTGGGTGCATCTACCTGTGCCATTAAGGTGACGTGATAAACTCTGGTGCAATTTGCGCCAGTCAGCTGCTCCTAGGCAGAATGTCTACACCTGGGGCCACAGTAGTTTGAGCCAGCATGGAGCATCTCCAGGCTGACAGAGGACCTGGTGGATCAACTCTAGGTTCTGGGTAGCAGTGTTGGGCAGTAGAGGGGTTGGCTGAGGCACAAGGGTGCTACAGTGTGGGGCTAAGTGGGAGGCAGCCCCTGCACTTTAGCACCCTTATGTCCAAGCCAGTCCCCGTCACCATCTACATGTGCATTTTAGTGGAGTAAATTACTCCAACGTAGTAAAGTATTGCACCTGACAGTACTATCCTATGGCAGAGTCAATTAATTTACTGGGCCCTAATACTGATGCATGCATGGACTGTGACACTTTACTACGAAACTAATTAGTCAGTTCCTCAGTAAAGCACACGTGTAGATGCACCCACTTATGCTAAGATTTTCACAAGTGGCTTCTAATTTTACTTGTCTTAATTTTGAGGCGTCCAGCTTCCCCCTGATTTTCAGACGTTCTGGGCATCTACAATGACTCTGTTAAAAGAAACTGCAGGGGCTCAACACAGATGACACCTAGCTGCAGGCAGTAGTAGATACGCTGGAGGATAGGGATAGGATTCAGAAGGCGCATCTTCATGTGCATTCGTGCACTTTTCCTAATGCACATTAAATTAGTACCTCCAATGTGAGGTACTAAATTAGTGCGCATTAGGCCGCCCTAATGTGTAGTAGGCCTGCGTGAAGCAGCTAGTACTCGTTTCGGATTCGGCCGATTCGGGGGACAGTGATTTCATTTGGTGATTCGAATCACTGTCCCGATTTGATTCAGCTGAATCTGATTCGGAGATTCGGCCGCTGCCGAATCTTTGAATCAGCCAGGCCAGGCTCATCCCCTGCCCCCCGCAGCCTGGCAATGCCTGCCCCAGCTCCCAGGACTTGTTAAAAAAACCCTCTGACTCATCGGGTGCTGCCAGGTGGGGGACGATCTCTGCTGCCCCCCACTGCCCCACGCTGCATGGGGGGCTCTGAATGAGCCGCCCAACCCCCCTGCCTCACTCTCCCAGGTGCCCCACCCTGGCCAGCTCCAGCTCTTTAAGAAACACCCCCCCCCGGACTCACTACTCCTGCTGGCAGGGGATGATCCCCACTGCCCTGTGCCACGTGTGGGGCTCTGAGTCCTGGGGCGTTTGTTGTTGTTTTTTTTTTTCCTTAAAGGGCCGGAGCTGGCCCAGGCAAGGCACCTGTGGGGAGGCTGGGTGGGGGCATTGCAGGTGTCGTGGCAGAGACCTCCATGCAGTGGGGGGCAGTGGGGCTCTCCCCCCCACCAGGACCCAGTGAGCGCCGGGTTTTTTTTTTAAAGTACTGGGAGATGGGGTGGGTGGGGGCAGCTAGGGGAGGCTGGCAGGGGTCCCCCCATGATCCACTCCTCCAGCCCCCCCTCCCGTGCCCCTAGTACTTACCAGCTGGGAGTCAGCTGGATTTGGAGGATTGGGCTGAAAGAAATCTCATGAGGTTCAACAAGGACAAGTGCAAATTCCTGCACTTAGGATGGAACAGTCCCATGTACTGCTACAGGCTTGGGACCTACTAAGTAAGCAGTAGCTGTGCAAAAAAGGACCTGGGGGTTACAGTGAACAATAAGCTGAATACAAGCCAACAGTCTGTCTTTGTTGCCAAGGCAGCTATCAGCATACTGGGCTGCATTAGCAGGAGTGTGGCCAGCAGATGGAGGGAAGTAATTATTCCCTTCTATTTGGCACTGGTGAGGCCATATCTGGAGTACTGTGTCCAGTTCTGCCTCCACATCTCACCCCTGACAGAAAGGATGTGGAGAAGTTGGAGAGTTCAGTGGAGGGCAACAAAAATGGCGAGAGGGCTACAGCACATGACTTCTGAGGAGCGGCTGGGGGAACTGGGCTTATTTAGTCTGCATAAAAGAAGACTGAAGAGGGATTTGACAGCAGCTTTAACTACCTGAAGGACAGTTCCAAAGAGGGTGGAGTCTAGACTGTTCTCAGTGGTGGCAGATGACAGAACAAGGAGCAGTGGTCTCAAATTGCAGCAAGGGAAGTTTAGGTTGGACATTAGGAAAAACCTTCTCACTAGGAGGGTGGTGAAGCATGGGAATGGGTTATCTAGACAGGTGGTGGAGTCTTCGTCCTCAGAGGTTCTTACGGTCCAGCTCGATAAAGCCCTGGCTGGGATGACCTAGTTGGGGCTGGTCCTGCTTTGAGCAGGGGGTTGGGCCAGATGACCTCCTGAGGTCCCTTCCAACCCTATGATTCTATGATCACCTATAAAAACCAGATCCAAGGTAGATCACGTTACATACTTGTAAGAAGACAAGTTTAAAATTCAGTGACCACTTTCAGAAACGTAGGTCCTAACCTTTCTGTTCCTTACTGTCTCCATCTGCACAGCACAGATAGTATTACCATCCTCTCTTAGAAGGGGCCTGAGAGCAGAAATTTAGCACGTCGTTCTCTTTCGAGCTGGACGGAACTATATACATGATACATACTATTGGGCTGCCACAGTTGTCTTCACTCAAGTTGCAGCAAGGGAAGTTTAGGTTAGATATTAGGAAGAACTTTCTCAGTAGGAGGGTAGTAAAGCACTGAAACAGACTTACCCAGAGAGGTGATGGAATTTCCATCCTTGGAGGTTTTCAAGACCCGGATAGACAAAGCTTTCAGTGGGGTGATATAGCTGGGGACAGTCTTGCTTTGAGCAGGGGGCTGAACTAGATGACCTCCTGAGGTCCCTTCTAATCCTAATTTTCTATGATTCTGAATACTAACAATTTGCCATAGGTCACCAGTCTTCTACAGTCAGTGGGAGATGAGGGCACCTCACACCTTAGCACTGGGGTTTGCTTTGTACCTTGACGAGCCAGGCATTCTGTCAGGGATCTCGTTGCTGGGATGCAGGTGGAAAGTGGAAGCCCACAAACATTTACTTACCATGATCCTTTCCTCTTCCTCCTCTTGTTTCTTCTGCTTTGCAACTTGGATTTCTGCCTCCTTCTTGGCTGCCTGCTGCAGCTCAAACTTGCTGCGCAAATCACGTGGGGGCTTGACTGCATACTTCTCAGTCTTCTCCTTCACTGTCTCTTTCTGAGCCTGTAGGAGCAGAGGATCCAGGTGCCTTGCTTAACCCAGCAGGACATGCCAGAGACCAGAGGACATGCAGATCCCAAGTACCTTGTAATCCAGCTTCCTCAACAGGCTTGTGGGATTGTAATCAATGGGTCTGGGAGCCCATGAACTCTTGAAGCCCAAACAGGTCCCAGTGGTGACAGGGGAAAAGCACTCAGTGACCTGACTCCTTGATTCAGGTCATGTATATTGGAACCTCAATTTGGCACCACAAGTCAAATGTTAAGCAGTCACAGACCTATGAGACACCAGTAATATCTAACCTGCTTGGCACTTTTCACTGTATTATGGCCAATTAACTATGTCTAGCAAATGGAGCCCCTCCCATCCTGCTCAGCCCAAGGTCCTCACCTCTTTGGACTTCTTCAGCAGAGGGCACACCTCCCTGGTCTCGTCCATCATACATGTCTCCCGGGTGGCATAGCCATATACACAGTAGGCATCATACCCAACCCCAATAAGCAGGGAGCAGAGCAGCATGCTGAAGTCAAAGCAGTTTCCTCTCTGGTACTTCAGGATAGTGGTCGGGGAGACCAAGGAGCTAGGCTTAAAAGAGCAGGATATGTTTTCTTTTACTTACAGTCATATCTTTGAATCTCCCCCTTCCCCAGAAACAAAGTAAAAGATATCACACTCGCCAAGGCCCCGTAGACTGAAATCTGCTGAGCTGCAGTGTGATCTACATGTAAGTAAGTACCAGTACCCAACAGGAGAATGTAGCTGTTTGCTTCAGACACTTGCCCTATTAGCTTATTTCCTGTCCCTGAGTATCCTGCCTATGAAGTAATTTTGCCCAAGTTCACTATTTCCCTCTACTTTTCCCATTGGTAAATCCGTTTACTAATGGATTGGAGCTAATGAATGGAGCAGGAGATTAGGAGACAGGAAACTGGGAGTCTATTCCCAGCTCTGAGATTCACCTGCTTTGTGACTGGACATGTGACTTCACCATGCCACTTCTCTGTCAATTAATGACCATGATGCCACTTCCTCTGAGCATCCTGGGTGCAGAGTATCAGGATTTAATTTCTGAATCCCATTAGTAGTCTGAAAATGCTGAGCAGCTTCTTATGGGTTAAATCAGTATGATTCCACTACAGTTAATGGAGCTCCACTGATCCATGTCAGCTTGTAAACATGTTTAAGGACACAGCTTGTAAAGACCTTTACTAACTAACTATTGCAGCCTGCCCATTGTCTGCTACTCCTTTATATGCCCCTGCTCTCCAAGGCAGTCACTTTCCTTATAAGGGATTTTTGGTCCCTGCTAGCCCTGCTTCTCTGTGATTTCTATGATTTCAACAAGCAACCAGCTAATCTGTGTGAACCTGCTTCAGAGGAGCCACTCTGGGTTTACATAGGGTGAGGGGTCAGAATCTGGCCTGGTCTGGTATATATTGCATGCATTTACTTAAGACGTGTCCCTGGGAAGTGACCACCCATGCAATGTAAACATACGCAAACAAAACACACACAAGGGCCCATTGAAGTAAATAGGAGCTCTGGCTAAAGAATGAACAAGGAGTTCTTACCATAGTCATTATCAGCCCTTAGGTGAATGTTGGAGGGGGCAGTTAGGCAAAAGGCCTTCCAGAGTACCGTGAGCTGGGCTGTCTCAGTGGGACACTGTGATGAGAAACCCCTCACCATTAACAATGTTGGGCTCCCAATGGGCCAAGGAAGGTGACTGAAAGAATCAGAGGAAGTCCTAGTTCTTACTGGCTCAATAGGGTTTGGAAGAGGCTCCATTGTGAGGTAGTCAGAGACGAATCGGGCGCAGCCATCCCAGTTGTACAGCTCTGGGTATGGCAGTAGGGTCGGACGCACTGTGGTGCTCACAAACTTCTGTAGAGCAACAAGAAGATTATAGCAGGTAACTGCACAGAAGATCATACAACAGGGAGGGAGTTTGAGGCCTGCAGGCTTGAACTAATGTCCAACTCCCTTCTAATTATCTTGAGAGCTTGATTACCATTCCTGCTCCAGCAACAACTTTTTCGCCTATCCTGGGGTAAGATATATAAGGGGTGGAGAGGTCATCTCACTGCACCTTCTAAAATACACCCCTATCTGTCCTCAGCTGAAACATTCAGGCTTACTCAGCAGCTCCCAGTTCAGCCTATGAGAGTTGAGTTCACAAGGCCTTTTTCAGGATCAGGCCCCTCCTTTCTACTTCCAACTGCCCTGAGAAGCCTGATAGCTACTGATATACAGCCAGCAGCAACAGTTCATAGAAGGTCTTCAGCACAGTCAGCTACTGCACAGTAAGGGTTTTTGCGGTAGATGTCTACACATGCAGGGATTAGGGAGATTTGCTCCCAGGTCTCTGTAGCCCTGCAATGGGCCCCTGACCCCACCAGGGAGAGCTCCAGGCTCCCCCTAGATACTGGCTCAGCAGCTGGCAGGGAACACCAGGCCAGAAGACAGCTCTCTCTTAGCCCTGGGGGACTGCCTGCTGCTGGGGTGGGGACAATGTCCCCTTGCCCTGGCAGCAGGAAGCTCCTGGCTCTGACTCCCTGATCAGGGGCATGGGGCTTGGGAAGGGCAGGTTCCAGCCCCCTACCCCAATCCCTCAGTGGGGCAACTAGCTTGCTGCTAGCTGCTAAGCTGCCCCACTGACAAATTGGGGCTGTGGCTGGGACCAACCCCACCCCTGTAGCTCTTTCCAAGCCCCATGTCTCAATTACCCGATGAGGGCACAGGTCTGGGATGTGCCCCTGAACAGGACAGTTCCTGGCTAGTCTCAGGCTGTACGGGGAAGTCTGCATGTGCAGCCCAGAGCTGGCTGGAGGCTGTCTGATACAGGACAGTCCTCAGCCACCTTCAGGCTGCACTGCTTCCCCATGCATCCTGGGGTTAACTGGGAACTATCCTGGTCAAGGGCAGGTCCCAGCCAACTCCAGGCTGGGCAAGGAACTGTCCCCATGCAGGGAAGTCCCAGCTCCCACTTCACGATCATGACTGGGGAATGGGGGTAGAAGTTCCCGGCTGCTGGGGCACAGGGACATTGTCCCCACCCAGGCACGGAGGGTGGGGCTGGGGACCTTGTTCCTCGCCCAGCTCCATGAGCATGGAGCTGTGAGGGGGAACAACCTCAGCTCTGCACTCATGGAGCTGGGTGGGGAACAAGATCCCCTGCCCCCACCAGTAAGGAGCTCCCAGCACTGGCTCCGTGGTTGCAGGACTGGGGCTGGGAGACCCTTATCTCCCAGCCTGAATTCTGCTATCACAGGGCTCAGGCTGGGAGATAAGGGTCTACCAGTCCCCTGCTTCCTGATAGCAATCTGGGAAAAGGAGCTCCCTGCTTCTGGGGCAGGGGGACATGGTCCCCACCCAGGTTCCTGTGACAGAGCCCTTCCTGGCAGCAGGCAGCTCTGGGGGGCAGAGAGCTATCTCCTGCCCCCTGATGGATGGCTGGCCTGGAGCAGATGTTGCTCCTGGTCAGGTATCTCCATGAGCACTACAGTGCTGTTACTAATGCCAAGATTTGCTACTAACATTTGCAGGTAGCAAAGTTACTCTGTATTACATATAGACACACATGCTTACTTCACAGTAAACTATGCTAATGTAAAGTTAAGCGTCTTGTGTAGACATGCCCACTAAGACCTAAATCCCTAAAGTTCTGAGCCTGAACATACTTTGGATCTTAAGAGTTGACCTCTAGATTCAGGCATTTCTTTTGGTTTGATTCACTTTTCATTGTCTTTTTGTTTCTGTTCCCCACGTGTACTGTAGCAACTGTCCTGCTGAAGACCCAACTGGCATAATGTGTATGCACAGTTTTCATAGATTTCATAGACATTAGGGCTGGAAGAGACCTCGGAAGATCATTGAGTCCGATCCCCTGCTAGCTCTGTCAAGTGTACAGTTGGTATAATCAGTGTTGTGTGCGTACAGTCAGTGCAGTCATTGTAAACCTGTGGGTCAAGTATACAGTTAATCTGACCGGCATACAGCTGGTGAGAGGAGTGTTTATCTGGGGTGGTGGGTGTATACCATTGGCACTAACTGGACAATTTTGGGGTTTTCAGCACTGTTTACGTCTATTTAAGAGACAGATAATAGAGTGAATCTTAACCCTGGACAGTTAAGAATTCTCTGTTAAATGTATTTGAAGTAAAACCATATCTAGAATGAATACAAATATAATCAATATGTAAAAAAGGAAGAATCCAGACTATCTATGATGCCCCGTTCCCCAGACAATCTTTTACCTCCACACCACACTCATTTAATGGGTGAAGAAAAAGCTCCTTGCGGTCTGGGCAGAGATGTGTGTACTGTCGGCGAAAATTGGCAGCTATATGCAGCATCATCTTCTCCTTAGCAGAATTTATCTTATAGGAAGCTGGTAAATGAGAGGTGTCCATGGAGCTCCAGTCAAATTCACTTCATATAATTAGGAGAGGCAGAGAGAGACAGATCAGGAAAATATCAAAGTTTAGATGCATTGACCCTATCTGGCAAGGCAGTCCCTTAGGTTATTCCCCAGCACAACTGTTGCAAATTAAATAAATTTGAGGTCATATTTAGAGATGCATCATTCCAAATATGTGGGAATTAAACTTGACTGAGCTTCTTGCCATAATGAAAACAAGCTCTTATGAACAGGAGCAGACAAACAGGCCTGCAAGTGCATTTGTATGACTTCTGTAAATCTGATCCAATGGGTAACATATAAGAAATGCAGCATAAGTTCTCATTTCTCTCTCTCACATACACATATATACACACATGCACCCTGCTTACTGTATGTTTGGAATATGGACTTGAATCTTTGACAACTTCTCCTCTAGGTCTTGGAGTTCATCACTGATCTTAAAGGCTTTTTTCTCTTCCTCTTTCTCCTCTGCCTCGTTCTCCCTCAGGGCCTCCATTTTGTCCCCTCAAGGGCTCCTGGGTGAAAAACACTTGCCAGAGTGAGACTGGGAGAGTGGAACTGGGTGCTACAGAAACACTGTTACACTTTGCTTGCAGATGTGTTTTGGATGAGAAGAGCTGATTTATCTGCGAGTGGGATTCTTGGGAAAACCTGATGTTGAGTATGAATTTAATCACACAGTGGATGCTGACTGCAAAGGAGTAAGATATATGGCTGGAAAATGAGTAAGCAAGAAGCCTATTGCTGATTTGATTGATTAGGTTCATTGGAACTGCTAGACTGGATACCTATAGTCCAATAATCTGTCGCTAGAAATGTTCATCACCAGCTGCTTGAAGGAAGAAAAGCCTTCAGTAAGCAGAGACAGAATAAAACTCCCAACAGGGAATTTCTTCTTGATCTTCATTAGTCATAGTTTGGTTTGTACCACAAAGCCTGAGGGTTTGGTCTCTTTAAGAATATATATGTTTCAGGCTTTATGATGAAAGTTCTGGATGTTCCCATTTTTCCATGTAAATGTCCTATATATATTTTTTTGAAATCCTGTTAAGCAGTAGGCCAAAGTGCTGGAGTCCCATGATCATTTAATAGAATCACAGAATTATAAGGCTTGAAGGAACAACAACTGTTATCTAGTCCAACCTCCTGCACAGGCAGAGGATTCATTATCCCTAAACCGTCCCAGACAGAGGCTTAGGCTCTCCAAAGAAGGAGATTTCACAGCTTCCCTGTACAACTTGTTCCATTGTTCTACTGCTCAAACAGTTTGGAAATTTCCCGAGATTTGTTCTGCACTTACTTTGGGGAAGTTTAGACCCATTGCCATGTGTCCTGCCCTTTGTGGTATGGAGAAAACAATGCATCTCCACTGGATGTCTTTCAAACAGTTGAAAACTACTAGTATGTCCCCCCTTGGCCTCCTTTTTTCCAAACCAAACATACCTACTTCCTTCCACCTGTCCTCATACAGCTCACTTTCCAGTCTCTTCAGACCTGTCTAATGTGCTGTTTTGCAGTTGTGTGACTCTTGGTTAAGTTTGTGCAGAGGGCTCTGAGACCTCCCTGTAAGTGTTCTTCAGTGAAGAATTTTTACATTGAAATAAATAGCAGAGAAGCATAAGTATCTCCAAGGACTGTTTCTCTAGGTCAAACTGACCCCAAGTGTGTTTTGGGCTGTGGGGGAGATAGCAAGTGAACATGGAGACACACACCTCTTTATCAGGCAATGTTTGGCTTGGCAGTATGAAAGGTATGTGGGGAAAGCAGAAGGGTGAGGACATTTACTGAACTAAGCTAGAAATGTCCAGAAGGGTAGAAAGGAAGAAGGGATTTCACACTGGATGTTCTCTCTGGGCCATTCCCCTGAGTTCTGCTTCTTCCTGACTTGGCCTTTGGACTCTGCTTTGACCAGACCCACCTGAGTGGAGCTTCTAGCCAGAGTGAACCAGCTCATCTCATCGTTGACAACCCTATGGCTGTACATCTCTGGGTACTATCCCACATCTGTAAATCTGTTGCTGTATGTATGTGTTCAGCTTTTCTGTCTCCCCTATTTCCCACCTTGCTCCATATTTGTTTCTATTAATTGCATTTATTAGTTGCATTGCTGAGCCTCTGATGGGGAACAGGGCTGGGGGCAGTAGCAGGGCTAAAGTAAGAGGGAAATAGTGGGGAACAACCCCCTCCTCTGTCTGGTGTTATGTAGCAGCACTCTCCCCTGCAGGTCCCCTCCTTTGGCTGGTGCAGTGAGAAGCTCCCCCTTCTGATTCCATCTTCTCCAACCACTGTCCTGTGCCAATGCATAACTTTGCTCCCTCTGCATTCAGCCGAGTTATGACCACAGGGGTGTTTCAGATCAAGACCAAGGCTAGGTCAAGCCCCACCCCCTCCCCCAGTCATAGATGATCCCAGCTCTATCTCTTTCTATCTCCCAGGCACTCCTCTAGCTTCCAGCCTCTCCTTGCCTCACCCCCACCTTTCAAGGTGATCCTTCCGTGCCCTGAATACTCCCTCCCCTGTTGTTGTAGTCTAAAAGTCTGGCTTTCTGATTTACAGTGCAGTTTCCCCAAGACTCATGTTGGCTGGGAGGGAATAGCTCACAGCTGTCTCATCTGTCCACAGCATGGAGACCCCCCTCTTTGCCCTGGGAAGGCTGCACCAGCTCTCTTAGCTTGGCCTTCCTTGCTTAGACAGATAAATTCACCTCTGAATATAACTGCTCCCTTGGAGCTCGTATGTGGGCTGAATTTGCCCTGTGCATCAGTCACAGCCTTTCCCAATGCCCTGTGGTGCTCCCCATCTCTGCCCAAAGGGCTCCCTGCCCAGGGCTGCTTCCCTGCTCCTCCACCAGTGCCCTTCCCCTCCACCATGGCCCCAGCCAATAGATGCTTCCTTCCTCCAGAGTCCTGGGGGTCCCCTTCTCCTTCCCATATGGACACCCACCCCCTTTTTCTCTCTCAGGGTTTGGCATAGCCCTTGCCTCCCACTTACACAATTCCACCACCCTAGACTCCATCTCCTGGTGCCTCCTGGGTGCAATTACAGAGCAAGTGTCTCTGAGACACCCCCAACCCATGTGGTAAGCATCAATCCCCCAACAACCAAATCCCTCTCCCTGCAACCCTCCCCCTATCCGAGGCAGGAGCCCCAGGAACAGCCTCACCAGGCTTTC